TCCCCCTTCACTTCGCTTGACTCTTTATGCGCATAGGAGGCGTCCCTCCCTGCTCTTTGCTTTCCCACGGGGGGGGGGGGTTGCTTATCAATCAGTCCGCTCAAATAGAACTCACGTTCATTGTCGGTCTTCAATCAGACCTCGCTCCCAATCATCGTTATTCCGCTGGATCTCTTGCACTTGCCCCAGTCGAACTAGCTTGTGCCCAAAGGCCACTCAGCAACCGGACCATCAGGGCGGAGGGAAGCCTCTATTCTCCGGCAAATAGCCGTCGAAGAGGCTAACCCTCAAAAGCCCTCTGGCTTGGAGCCCTTCCTGAGAGTTCCGTGGAGGTGCCACTTGAGGTGGCACCCCTCCATGTTGCTGGTGTGCTAATCGCTCCTCCGCGGGTCAGAGAGAGCGACCGCCATCGCTAGTCCACTTCCAGTTCTCCAGGGAGTCGAACTTGTAATGACCAACCAAGGTAGAAGCTGACGCTTGAGTGGCCACTTCACATAAAACCTCCAGAGAAACATTGATCTCAAAGGTTGCCGATGTTGCTCTGCTAACTGAAATGGCTGCGTTCCAGATGGCATTAGCTTTCCTTGTAGACTGAGGCAATACACTCTTTGAGCTGTATACTAAAGGTAGATTTTCTCCCTTTAATTGAAGAGTGGAAAGTGATGAACAAGGAATCCATCTTCTTACTGGAAATTATCTAATCTACATTCAAAAGGCTCTGCAATTATCCAAGGCAAGCCTGTTATCCCAGAAATTATGTGGCTTGGGACAAAAGGATGGTAAATATAGCTTCTGTGAGCAATAAGTTCTTGTGAGGCATAAGGGAGGGATAAATTCTCAGGAAGACCTTATCCTAGTGAAATACACAAAGAGTTGGAGCCCACTTAAAATTTCCACATCCATAGGGGGTGATTTTCACCAATCCCCCCCTCCTATGGAAGACCTCCAACCACCCCATCTATTCCTGTCTCTCCAGAGCAGCGTTGGTGGGGCATTTAGGGCTGCAACAGGAAGGGAGAAGTGGGGAAACCTTCATTCTGAAGATGGAAATTCTTCCAGTCATAAAATTGATTTCCAGTCATGAAATTTTAAATCGGATTCAGCTCAGACCCTGATGAACAGACTGTGCTCCTACTTCTGAAATCCTCCATATAAATATTACTGCAACAGCGCTGTGAATTAAAGAACTTAAGAGACTTCCTCTGACTGGATCAAATGGAAGCAAAGTAAGGTACTGGAGAACTATGTACAACCTCCAAGTGAGAATTCTGTGCATTTTTAGAGAATACAGTACATTCTCCTGAAGAAACTGTTTGATATGAGGGTGTCTGTATACAGTTATGGTTTCAAGATGGCTGTTTGGGCAGCTATTTGTCTATTATTCATGTTGGGGCACCTTAATCAGCACCTAACTTCTACAATGACCTGACGTGAAGTACAGATGCATCTAAGGATTACTGAAGTGTTTTCTTTGACACCAGGCAGTATCATAAATACAAGTACTAAATGTGCCACATAATGCTAACAGTACCTTGGCAACCATCTCTGAGTAACCTAGAGAAATGTTGCCACTCAATTTCCATGCAGTCAGATTCAGATTCTGGTTCTGGAAAATAGGTCAGGCTTCGAGGTAGCAAGCTTTGAGTTGATGTTAATTTCTCTACTGAGATTCTATCAAGGCCTGGACAAGGGTACAAACCTAAGCAGCCCCCACCCCCACCCCCGTCAGTATGGCATTACGTAAATCAGCTCCTCTTCTTTGAGCTGGATGCCTTTCAGACATGGCATATTACCACATCCAGTTGTTCGGCTTCTGTTTTCTGGTACCTGAAAAAGAACCTCAGGTACTTGTTGCTCTGAAGATACACAAGGCAATCCACTAGGGACATCCCAAATCTCCTCTGGTACTCTTGTAAAGGTAAAGGTAAAGGTTCCCTTGCTCGAAAGCCAGTCAAATCCGACTCTAGGGTTGCGGTGCTCATCTCCGTTTCAAAGCCGAAGAGCCAGCGCTGTCCGAAGACGTTTTCCGTGGTCATGTGGCCGGCATGACTAAACACCAAGGCGCACGGAACGCTGTTACCTTCCCACCGAAGTGGTACCTATTTATCTACTTGCAATTTCTTGCTTTCGAACTGCTAGGTTGGCAGGAGCTGGAACTAGAAACAGGAACTCACCCTGTCTTGCGGCACCCGGGTCTTGAACCGCTGAACTACTGACCTTCCACAGCCTGCAGTTCAGCGTCTTAACCACTTGAGCCACCTGCACATTTTAAATTTCTTGGATGTTTCCTTTTTTGAATGAAAATATCAAGTATTTCTCCACTTAAGATGCACATTTCTCTGCTCACAAGTGAAGTAGTGAAGTTTCCTGTTGAAATTTTCTGGATTTCCTCCCCCCCCCCAATACACACACCAGTTGACACGGCCTTTGAATGTCATGCTGTCCATCCTTACTAAGACACACTGATGCTGTGGCTGTGGCTCACTGGCAGAGCATCTGCTTGGCATGTAGAAGGTCCCATGTCTAATCCCCGACATCTCCAGTTGAAAGGATCTGGTAGGAGGCGATGTGAAAGACCTCAACCTGAAACCCTGGAGAGCAGCTGATAGTCTGAGTAGATAATACTGAGTTTGATGGACCAAGGGTTCTGATTCAATATAAGGCAAGTTCATGCGTTCCTGCTGGATTCTTGGTATATAGTGTCAGTCTCCGTTCCTTCCCCCTTTACTTACAACATACTTAGCTCTTTCTTCCCCAGGACATTGTATTTAACTATTTTTAAATATGTTATTTCATTAAAAAAATTATATCATGGACTCCGACCAAACATTTTCAAACTAGCTTTCAATCTCTATTAAAACAAATCATTAAAAAATCAAGACAATCCCAAAAACACAGACCAAAGGCTGCAAAAATGCCAGACAGAAGCAACAAATTTTAAATCTGTCAGCAATAAAACTAACACCAAGCACAGAAATATTCCAGCAATAATTCATTCAGGAGTAATACATTTAATACAGTATAAAGACTATAAAATTCTAAAAATGTTATAATTTTGGAGGTGCTACAGATAAGGCAGAACAGGTCACACACAGAAAGAGAGAGATACACCAAGAGAAAACTTTGGTAAAATGGATGTGGCAAGGGAGTTTATAGCAGAGGAGTGCCATAGGGGTCAGGCAGCAGTTCTCCAAAACCAGATCAATGAGACAGCAACAGACCATGATGCCCCCAAATACCTCTCTCATCCAACCAATACAGCTGAATACCAAAATCGATGACATCAAACCCACTTAGAGACTCGGGAGAAACAACAAGGTTGTGCGCGCAACTACCCTAACAAAGACTGCCAATTAGGGTGACCAAGGAAGCTTCAGTTCCAAAACTGGGCCTGAAGCCAGACTGAAACATGTCCAAATAATCACTTACACACACACACACACACACACACACAAAGAGTGTAAGTTGCTCTGTCACCACTTGTTTAAGCACTTTGCACCAAATCTGTTACTAGATTACAGGTGAAATCATTCCCCCTCTCCCTCTTTCAATGAAGTACTGATTGCCTTCTGGACCCAATCAGGCAATGCCCTTCAGCCAGATTTAGTAAGCAGGGACAACTTCGCCCACAGGCCTTATAATAACATAAACTCACCCAAGTAATTGGTAGCAAGTCGGTGCTCTGATAACATTCTGATTGTACTGTCAACCCTGTGGAGTTCAAATCCTAGCAAAACAGCACATAGACTTCAATCCTAGCACACAGACTTCAGAGTTTTCAAGTTCTTAAGACTATATGGGCCTTCATTCTTTCAGCTACACAATGAAGATTAGATTTTCCCAAGTGATTTTAATCAAAAAATGCCAAGCAAAAATATCCCAGAGAGCTTCAGGATGTTCTATACTCCATCATGGGGGGGGGGAGAGAGAGAGATTATCAAGTCCCCTCCCCATCTTCCTCTGGCTGGATGCAATGGTGGAAGAGAAGCACAAGTGCTCTATTTCCTCTTCACCACCACAGAACAGGCCCTCCTCACAAACTACACTCTTCTGACTCCAGCAAATGTCTTGTTCTGAGCCCTCATCTGGCATCTCCAGCAACTGTTATTCAACCCAGAATACTTTTTATACCTGAAAGTAGCCTAGAACACTCCTTGTAATTCCACCTCAGTTACTTTTCAGAAATCCTTCCATCTGGTGATCCTTCCCCCCCCCCCAGTGATCTTTGTCTTTATCCCCCCTTCACCCAGCTCAATTAGTTCTCTACATAACTATATTTCAACATCCTGAAGGAACGGAGACTGACAGATAGAGCACAGATAGTGCATAGAGTTGTCAGTGCAAACACGGCACAGGCACATAATGCTCTTAAATCAGCACTACTTTCTGTTTTACAAACCTTTCTGGATCCTGGCAACAGATCAAGCGTTCACAAGGCAACTGCACTTCACAAGAAAATAAGATCCCATTCAATCATTTTGTAAAGCCATTCTACCCAAGCCCTCTTCCTATTGATAGCTCCACTCCCACAATGCACCTTGCCTGAATGGTGAGCATTCAATATAAAAACCAGAATTAATTGGGAGAAGATATTTTAATACGTTAATTATTCTCAAAGTGATCTGCAGAATGATTTAATGCTTTTGTTTTAGCTTTATAACATGAATACCAAGGGACGTTTGATTACATGGGCAATGATATAGTGACAAAACCACTATTGGCAGGTTATAAAGAAATAAACAAGTCTGGGTACTAGTCATATATCAGAATACCAGGACTACCTATAAGAGCATTATGACACAAAGAACCGAAGTGGGTTTTTTTAAAGTACCAAAAAAAAGGAAATACCATTTTAAATTTCTCAAGATACGGCAAATTTTACCAACACACAATACAAACATAGAGCTAAACTCAAATTCACGTTACAATATAAAAGTTAATTTTAGCATAAGTCATAATATATAGTTATGAGCTGGATAGAAATAGTAAACAAAGGTTACCTGATACTCTTCTGTTGAATCTGTTAGCAACAGGAGCTGCAAAAAAAGAGAAATTAATTAGCTAGGAAATAAGTGATGAAATTACAAAGAGTATAGTACCATATAGACTCTTCACACAGACTTCAGAGTTTTCAGGTTCTTAGACTACATGGGCCTTCAATCTTTCAGTTACACAATGAAGATTAGATTTTCTCAAATGGCCAAAAAACAAGAAATGTGGCACTGAGAAACTCCTGGCTATATTTATCTGCTTGTATAAATGTTTATGCCCTGTATTTCCCCATGGTTAAAGATGACTTAGAACTCCAAATTTAAAACATACAAAACATTAACCCACAACCTCTAAAAATGCCTGCAGCTTACACACACCATTAAAAACCGGAGAGCCTGTTCTGTAGCGTGGAAGCTGCAAGAAAAAGCAACAGCACTAGTCAATTATAGGCAAGTTGCCTGAAGTGGGGGAACAACCAGTAGGCAACAGTAGGATCAGTAGTTTGCACAAAGGGATATATGGGAAGAGATGGCTCTGTGCCAAAATACTATAGAACTCACAACCAGCACCTTGATTTGGACTGGGAAACAAACTGGCTTTCAAATAGGCAGGACAGGCCCTTACAATAACCAGGATGTCATATTCTGCACTAGTTGCAGTTTCTGGATTTTCTTCAAGGGCAGCCCAGCATAGAACACATTGCAGTAATTTAACTGCCACATTACAAAAGCATGGATCAGTGTGGCCAGTTCAAAGCGCAGCTGACAGAAGTCACTCTTGCCCACTATACCAACCTGCTTTTCAAACAGTAAGGCTGGGTCCATGACCTGCTCTACAAATACCAATACCAATCCATCTACCAAAGCATCAGCCCTTGTGACCAACATTACTTCTGTCTGTCCGAATTCACACAATACAGAATTAAGGGTATCATAATGGCCTTTGAGACTGCTCAACAAGGAGGATTTTTGTGCTTTTAACTACTTCAGTGGTATTACGCTTTAATTCATTAGCTAGCAACTGTGAATTTTGCATTTTTGAAGTGTTCCATAACACTTCTATTCTCAAGTATTTCCAAGTAATTCATGTGTCAGTTGGGCTGGTCCTTTTTTTTCTCTTTGTCATGCCCACTTTTCCAAGAAAACTTCTCCATTCAAGATATGCAATAGAAACTTCAATTTGTACACAGGGATTTTCCCTTCAAAGCATTATCTGTGCGTATATCCACAATACAACTGCACATGCAGTCACAACACCTACCTAACGGCACTTCTTGGGAAAGGAGAACAACATACCTGAAACATCTTAACATTTTCTACTAAAAAATTCCAACAAAGATGCATTGTAAGAAAGCCTCATGAAACCTGTTTTCTGGCTGCATGTCACCTCCAATTCTAGCAGTAGTGCAAACTTTTTAAAACACTGCACATTCAGTGATGAAACCCTTGGCCTGGACTTTACTATTAGACAGCTGCAGCCACGGAATCTTAGATCACCATACATCCAAGAAGTGGTTAAAACTGCACATGGATTTGCCCTTTAAAAAAAAAAACCTGGATTATTTTACCATTTATATCATCTTGGAGAGATTTTTACCTCATCTCTTAGGATCTAACTACTCTTTGCACAAAAAGTATGTCTAACCAAACCCAAATGGGTTTTTTTTTAATCCTCCCAGGAAAACATGCCAGGAAACTGGCAATCTGCAGCAGAGAAAGAGCAAGGAAGGGAGGGCTTCATCCTTTCTCTACCACCACCACCACCGTACACCACCCTATCTCTTCCCTTCCCAGTCCAAATATATGCTTGCCCTTTCAAAAGTGCTCGCCGTCCACCCAGCGGTTCGAAAACTTCAACGAGTAGATAAAATGTGTACCACTCCTTAGAGAGGGTGGGCACACTAAACCCCCCCGGTGGGGGGGAGATGTTAGCCGGCGAAATGGAATGTCCAGCTCGTAAGCCTGGAAAGATCTCCTCGGCATCAAGAAGCCTGCGATGGGCCAGGCGGTGGCAGTGCAGTGCTGCGACTTGAAGCAGTCCTGGAAAAAGCTAACATCATCAAGCCAAGCCGAGTGAATGCCGTCTGGAACACGTCTAAGCCTGCAGCTGAAGAAAATCCCCATCGGCTGCAAACGTGTGTGACTTAAAAGATTTATATGTTGTCCTCCTTTACCCCTATGAATCATTGTCAGTCCCTTGTGAATATGTGTAACTGTAAATTGCTCAGAGCCAGCAGCTCTGCAGGATTGAGCAATTAATAAATCGAAAGGGGGGGGAAGTGTGTGTGCAGTTTGCAGCAGAGAAATGGCATGCGTAGCTAGGCCCTTCCCCGTGCATGGCCCCAGGACGACCATGTGAGAGATGACAATTAGAGAGGCATTGCCAAAGCTAATGTCAGTGATGCTATTATAAATGGCACACGACATAATGAAAGGACCACAGTACAAAACGGGAGGGAGGTACCATTAATATATTCCCGAGACATAAAATGAGTGTTATCAACAAAGCACTTTCTGAGAAAGACGCATATGCTAGTGATTTGTGGTAACTCAGAGCCATCCCTCCCACCCCAAACCGTAGAGAATATATTAACCTTTCCCATCAGACATTTTTAGACATATGACTGACTTGCAGAGGCAGACCCATGTCAAAAAATGTCAAGAGAGAAACTGCCGTTATGGCAACTCCGGTAGCAGCGAGCCAGTGGATGAATGGTAATAGGCACATCCCCCAATACTGTTCAAAGGAAATTTTGCTCAGCTAAGAGCTATGGTTGTTCACAGAGATCAACACACTGACATTTTTAGCAGGTTGCTTGTTCCTTGGGAACCACGTCTATCCTTTAAGAGCAAGGATCAGTAATAATTATACAGAAGGGCTCAACAAAACTTTGCAAGCAGCAATACAAATTCCTCCTGAATCTGCAGAAATACTAGAAGAATTGTTTTGAGAGCTACATAGCCTTTGCTGCCTCAGTCAGAACAAAGATTCTAGCAGAGCCACAACATATTTTGTGAAGTTGCTCGGAACAAGAGTTACATGTAAGGAGATCTTGGCACCATCTGATTGGACAGCTCAAATGCACATTATCTAGGGTTCAATTCAGATCGCATGGGCTACTGGAATTTGTTTGTGCCAGGCATGAACCTGGTTTACTGGCGAGTTTACATGCTCTCTTTCAGCTTCTCTGACCGCTTCTTCCTTCCCTCATGCAACGCATCGAGACTGATGTTTTCATCTCCAATTAGTGATGGCATTTGAATGCAGGTGCTCCTTCCAAAGTAACTAGGGTTCTTAACCACAATGTAATCCCCATTTACTACGGAAGAAGCTAGCAGACTGAGATCAAGACCCTCACATTTAGGTTTCATAACTAATTGGAGTTTCTTGTGACCATGTCCCAATGAATTTAGCACAATCTCACGTCAACGTAAACAGACTCAGGTTGCAAGTGGCCAGAGTGTTCACAAAGCCAGAAGTGGTAGTCACTGGACCGACAGTGGCTGGTTAAGAGACAAAGTAAATTTAGATGTTACATAGGCGGAACCTAGATATTCCATAATTTGAGAACCAGACAGGTAGAAAGAGACAGCATAAAGGGGCATCCAGGTAGGTTCAGTGGATGATCCTCATAAGACACAGGATAGAATCTCTGGCAGGTCAGACCTTACCCATCTTTCACTTGCCAGAATCTCACTCAGGATAGAATCATAGAATTGGAAGGTCATCTATACCAACCCCCTGCACAATGCAGGAAACTCACAAATACCTCCCCCCTTCACACCCACAGTGACTGCTGTTCCATGCCTAGAAGATGACAAAAAACCTCCCGGATCTCCAGCCAAACTGGCCTGGAGAAAAATTGCTTCCTGACCCCAAAGTGGTGATAGGCATTTCCCTGGGTGTGTAAGAAAGGGCCACAAGAACTAATCACTGAGGCAACCCTTCCTGCCCTCCCTCTCATAATCTGCCTAAGTTCACAGAATCAGCATTGCTGTCAGATGGCCATCTAGCCTCTGTTAGGCTCTCAGCTGGTTCATGTACCACTTCAGTAAGCCAGAGATACATTCTCCAAATGTGTGCTGCAGTGCTTTACTAACGTTATATGCATAGCAGCACCGCATGTATAATTGTTGTTGTTCAGTCACACAGTCGTCTGACTCTTCGTGACCCCATGGACCACATCATGCCAGGCCCTCCTGTTTTCCGTCATGCTCTGGAGTTTGCATGTATAATAGGGCAGTTTAAATCAGAAACTGAACATGTTCAAACAAATCACACAGGTAGGCTCTTCTTGCCTGCCAGCATCTTATTTAAATCAGGCTTTGGTGACTGAGATTGATGTGAGTTAACCTCTAGAACCTAGTGCCCGGCAAGAGTCCTACAACAGCAAACCATGACTTTAGAATATTTATAATATTAAACCTCAAAAGTTAGTTATTCCCGCAAGACTACTTCTTCTAAATAGAAAAGCAGGCTTTAACCTAATATTAGTAAGCCATGAATTCAGTTTACAGGTAGCATCCAAACAACTGAGTGGAATTCTACTTGTACAACAGACACCCCATATCATATCCACTAAATTATTTGTACCCCTCAATTACCACTCCCAGGAGACCCACTTCATTCCTCCTGGTCTATGATCTGGCACAGAAACGTGTGCCTTCTGTTAACGCAAAGAACCCTTTAGGTCTAACCATGCAATTGTAAGCAAGAACAAATCCCAGGCACCAGGTCACCATGGCACTTTAAAAAATCACTGAAGTGCCTAGGTTTTTTTGTGATACAAGTACTTAGAAAATATGGTCATATAGAACCATGAAGGCTGAAATATGAGTCTGGCTCCTAAAGCTAAAGAAAATTTGTCAAGGCCTGTTGTTGTAAGCTTAACATATTTGTTGCTATTTCATTTTAATCATTAATTTTAATGTAAGGCATTTACTATAGTAGACCTTTTAACATGAAAAATCTAGTTTTAATCATTTCTCCCATTTTGCCTGTTTCCCAAATGTTGCCCACATTAATACCGCAGTTCTATTACATT